TACCCTTGCCGACGCCACCTTACTCACGCATCCCGCTCCCGAAGCTCAGCTGTCCCTGATGGTAGATGCTTCGACCGTAGCTGTAGGGGCAGTCCTTCAACAACATCTAACCGATTCAACACCACATACGGATACGCTCGCCCAAATTTGGTGTCCGAGACTCTCTGTAGTGCGCCGTAAGACAAGATTGCCGAACTACAATACCTCCGACGGATCTTCCAAGCCAATGGCTATCCGCGCACCTTCGTCAACCTGTGCATACGCAAAAAGGAAAGAAAGTCCTAACCGCATGGACCCTAATTTTGATGAGCGCTTTCGTATATCAAGAACGTTTCGGAAACTGTCGGCCGCCATCTCGCACCACTTGGGGTTGGAGTGGCACACAGACCGAAGGCAACCATCAGGCGTCAGGTAATGTAACCGAGAGACCGCTGCCTCAGCAAGAAACGTCTGGAGTCGTTTATCGGATCTGGTGCAGATGCGGAAATCGAAATTATGCGTCGTAGAAACTCGAAGACAGCTTCGAACGCGAGTGGCCAAACACGCTGCAGCGGTGCGGAGAAATGACGCCAGCTCCCAAGTTGCGGCTCACTCGACGAGATTCGGCTACACAATCAAATTCGACGAGGCCGAAATTCTCGCAAGAGGTGTAAACCGCATGAGCCGGGAGCTGCTTGAGTCATGGTTTACTGGCCCCCAGTCTATTAACAAGTGCAATGGTCTTCCCCTTCTGTACTCTGCGTTGAGACTTCGCCTAGGCGGAGTAATTAGCCACGTGGGAGGCGCACAGGTGAACGCTGTTCCCAAAGCCAGGGTCGATGTATCAGATGGTCGAGCAATCATCACACTAACATCCAACGCATGTTATGCAATTGCAGCCATTAACGACGCGAATTTCATCCATCAAATAGTCAGCACACTAAGTGCAACAATCCCTGGTGAAGGGGGGAGTCGTCAATATTTACAGGCATGCGGTAGCATGACGATTGCATCCTATAAATACTGGAGCCCCTTGTGCATTAAACATCCGTACCTGCTTTTGTCTCTGATGATGGCTTCGAGCAGGAATCCGAAACGCCAGGCTAATAAAGTTCTTGTCCCAGCGATCGTGTCTTATTCTTCAAAACTACGTCCTGGGACTCGTCTCTTCTCATCTAGCACAAGAAGTGCCCACAAGGCACATTCTCCAGCCCCGACGCACATTTCAGCCATGTGCACCTGGATGTCGTAGGCCCCTTGCCACCGTCCGACGTCTAAATTCACCTTAACGGCGTTGATCGGTACACCCGCTGGGCTGAAGCCATTCTTTTGCCGGATACGCAGGCTGAAACCACCGTGAAGGCTTTCGTCAGTCGTTGGGTCGCCGTGTTCGGTACCCCATCGACGGTTACGACTGATTGTGGTGCCCAGTTTGACTCAACACTCTTCCAAACACTACTCAATTTCCTTGGCTGCACACGCATTCGGATGACAGCTTACAAACCAACTGCCAACGGTATGTTTGAGCGTTTCCATCACCAGCTAAAGACCGCCCTGCGTGCCGTAGAAGACCCAGGTAACTGGTCGGAAAACCTTCCTCTTGCACTCCTCGGCATTAGCGCAGTCCTGAAGTCGGATTTGGACTGTAGCGCAGCTGAACTGGTCTTCGGCACTATCCTCAGATTGCCAGGCGAGATGATCATTCCAACCTCTCGTGGTGCCGACCAGACACCTGAAAACCTTGTGCACCGTTTGCATCAATTTATGCGCTCGCTTTTCCCGGTTCCACCTCGAACTCCAATGACTGAGTCTTATGTCGAAAAAGACTTTGAAAACTGTACTCATGTGTTCGTCCGGTGTGACCGTGTACGCCAGCCGCTGGAGTCACCCTACGAAGGACCGTTCCGCGTGCTCGCGCGCAACGCCAAGACCTGCCGGATTCTTTGCGGTGATTAGGAGGATGTGGCCAATGTCGATCGGGTCAAGGCTGCTGTTGCAGAGGAGCCGCCGGACCTGTCACAAGGACAAAAATGTGCTGACCCCCAACCCCTGTTACTCCGCCTTCACTATCTCCTGCTTCTCCACTTTTTCTACTCCCTGGCCCTCTATTCCACCGTCCCGCATACTTCCTCTCCCCACCTTCCCACAGCATCTAACTACAACCTCATCCTCCTTCACCGTAGCACGCACTCAACCGTCTTCAAATGTATCTCCTGCTTATATCACTGGCAGTGGCCGTCACGTTCATTTCCCTGATCGTTTATTTATGCATTTCTTCTAGACTTATGCATATCCTCCGGCGCCTTTTAGCGTCGCCTTCTGGTCTCAGAGAGAGGTACTGTGGTGAGGTAACTGACTAATTCACCTTTGATAATCTCGCTTGTTTTAACGGGACGAAAATAAGGCACCTGGACAACCTACGCTTCGCTGACGTGCTACGCTGTCGTGCTCTGCTGTCAGGCTATTTTATGTCTTGAATATCAGTCTTATTCGCCGACCAGTTTTGCTTGCTGCTCTTAATATTTTGGGCCCGTGAGATATCATTCGTTAGTCTACGTAAAATTCTAGAAAGGGCAGAATATTCCCGTGCCCTAGCCCCAATAAACCTTTTCTCTAGTCTTGCCCTGCCCTTAACTGTAACTCCGCAGCTAACACTAACCTCCACCTTAGCCCTTGACATGATCCTGGTTTACTTTACCGTTATTTTTAAATCTAACCTTAAAGTGAATTTTCAACTCAGCACTAAACCTTACCTCAAACCTAACCCTAATTTCACTGGAAGTTGCCTCGAAGTCGCCTGCGTTACAGGCGTTTCCTGTTCTCATGTCCACATAAGTCAGGGCAGTGACCTAAAACGCGGCGGCACCGGTAAACTGGAGAACCCTAAACCCTAACCCTAAATAATAACTCTAAACCCTAATTCTAACAGCTCTAAACCTAACCCCAAACCCTAACTTTGAATCCCAACCCTAAACCTTCTCTCAAAACCCTGACACTAACCTCCAAATACTAACCCTGACACTAAACAGAAACCTACGTATTGGAGTCGATATTAGAAGGAAATTCGTGGTCAATTGACTAGGAAATGGCTACATGGCGCCGCGTTTTTGGTCCTCACCACTGAAATGAAGACCGGACTCTGCATCAACTTTGTCGAACCGGCAAAACCTTTTTACAGTATGGCCTGAAATAGGGTCCGAAAATTTGTACTGAAATCAGGATAGCCAGAATGCTTTGGGAAGATGAATGAGGAGCCGCGTCATGGAGGCCAAGTGGCTATCGGAAACACTTTCTGCGAAAGCTGTTTGGAGCAGTGCCGCTTACTCGTTCTCCCTTCTCTCCAGTCTTATCCTACTCTTCCTCCTCCCCCGACGAATACTCAAAATCCCACTCATGTAGGCATAGGGAAGGACGCGCAAGACCACTTCGCACGACTTCTTATTCACGGATGACTACTTGACGAACACCACAATCGAGGTAGACGCACACCGGAGCGCGCATCGCTTAATCTCCTGCTAGCCGGACTCCAAAAATCAGAGGAAGGTTCCACCCTCGTGACAAATCAGCGAATTATAGACTGCAACCAATCAAACTACCACGACGACTAAAAAGCGCATTCCGAAAGGTTGCCAGACGAGGGGATAGCGGCGTCCTTCAAGTTAATGAGGACTAGACTTCAACTAAAGCATCCAATGGTCTTGGCTTTATTTGGTTAACGAAGGAAAGTGAGTGTGCAAGGAGCGGATGAAGTATATGCAAAGTTAGTCAGGTTTCTCACAAACAAAGTCACGAGCTAGTCAGGGCTGCAGTCACTACGTGCGGCGGCGGCGGCGGCGGCGGTGGAGATGCTTGTCTGTCTACAAAGGCGCACGACTGCGTGCGCTGTGGCCTGGGCTTCCGTTAACGGTTGCTAGGCGTTTATGCAACCGATTTAAAGCAGCATAGCAAACCTCCTCAAACTCCTGTCCCTCCCGCCTC